GATTGTATATCAATGGCATGTCAATAAAAAAATTAAGTAAATAAACAAATAAACAGTGCCCTGTAACTAAATCTACAATTAACATAAATAAGCTAAATCACCATTGAAAATCCTTTAGCACTGCTATGGAAAAGCAATGGAAGAGTAAACAGTAAGCATTTTAGAGGTAGAGCAGAAAATTAGTCATTTCTGGCATACTAAAGAGGTTTCTAAAACTCAGTTCACTTTGACCATCCTTAGAAAGTGGCACAGATTATCAGAGCTATACATTTTTTAATTATGTTTTTCTGATAATAAAAGTATATATACAGGATCACACAGTGATCACATTTGTCAAAATGTATATTGTGTATTTCATTGTAAATTTTACCTAAAAAAAACCCAAAACTGTAAACATATACCAAACTCTGATAATAATATGCATGCTGATGTATGTAAGGGTAAATGTATTGAAGCCTGCAATTTACTTTGAAATGCATCAAAATTAACTGATGGATAAAAGGATACATTGATGGATATATATATATATGATAAAGCAAGTATTTATGTTAACAGCAGATCCTAGAGGGTAGATATACAGATGTTCACTATAAAACCCTTTCAACTTTTTTTTTATGTTGAATACGTCCATAAGAAAATGTTGGGGGAAAAAGAAATACAAAATCATCATTAAAAAAAGGAAAATATAAGAAAAACAAAAACCCATAGAGGCACCAAACTGACACTTGGTATCATGTTATATATATTTTGTAGCTTGCTTTTGCCACTCAACAATATATTATAAGCATTTTCCTAGCTCTTTAAGTATTCTTCCAAATGCAATGGAATTGCATTATACAAATATAGCATAATTTTTTCGGCTTTACTGAGGTATAATTGACAAAATTTTAATACATTTGAATTGTACATTATGATTTTAATACACATGTACATGTTGTGAACGGATGCCTATAATCATATTAACACATTTGTCAACCTTCCATATTTACCTTTTGTGTTTATATGTGTAAGATATAGCATAATTTAAAAGAAAATTTGTTATAGGACACTTTGGTTGTTTTCAGTTCTTTGCAATTATATATTTGAGATGAGCAGCCTATTACATCCATCTTTCTGCACACTTCTGATTATTTCCTTAGGATAAAGTCCTAAAAGTGAAATGTCTGGACAAAAGGAAATAATTATTTTAAGATTTTTGGTACATTTTCCTAAAATCTTCACCAAAAATTTTACCAATCTGCATTCCTAACAAGAGCATATCACAGATCATAGCTTTCTACACAAATGATATTAAATTTTAACTTAAATGTTTCCATAAATAAAATTTATCTATAACCACTCTCCCAGAAGAACGAAGGTTTTTTTTTTTAAAAGTCTACAACAAGCAAACCTAGTACCCAAATCATGGTTTCTAAATATCTTACTTCCAAATCAGGTACCCTGAATCAGGGCTTCTTGAAGAAATAGGCTGTCTTGAGGAGTGGGGCAGGAATTAGATGAGTCTGGAACATCTTTTTGTGCCAGAAAGTATGAAAATACTAAAAAAATGATGGACACAAATCAAAAGAACACAAGACTCAACTTGAAGGGACTATTACTTACTAAATCAGGGACAATTTAAGCATGAAAGTGAGTAACAATAACATTTTGAATTTGAAAAAGAACCCATATACCTACAATGAAACAATAAATAAATTAATTAATGGACGAATAACTAAGTCAAGAAGGAAGGAAAGAAGGAAGGCTCTCAGTTATGTTAAAACTTTTTGCTTTCTACACAGTAACTGTCATCATATTTGACTCAAACAGGAATCACCAGTGGCTGCTAAAAACACTAGGTAATGTTTGTTGAAAAAAGATATTGCACAGCCTCAAAGTACCTACCATCAGCTTAATTATTAACTATGAAGTGAAAACAGGGTTTTTAATGTGGAGAAATTCGGTGAGCCCCTCTCAATCAAGGATTTAAAATTATTATCACCAAAAACAGAACAAACTGACATTGTAGGTCTCCAACTAACATATGACACATGACCTATGTAGCATTTCTAACGAAACTACATAACCTTATATTAGGCAAGAGGGAGTGAAAGTCAGATAAACCCTAAATAAAGGACATTCTACAAGATTATCCTGCACTCTTTAAAAATACCAAAGTTTAAAAGACTAAGAAAGACCAACTATTACAGAGTAAAGCATACCAGTCAGGTACATTAACTAAATGCAACACATGATCCTGGGTTGGAAAAAATTGCCAGAAAAAGCCATTATTGGGACAATTGAGAAAATATGAATACAGATTGCAAGACAGGTAATATTATTTTATCAATATTAAATTTTCTGAAATTGATAGTTATACTGTGGTCAAATTCTTAGGAGATGCTAAAATATTTAGGGATAAAGGTACATAACATTTGCAATTTACTCTCATGGTTCAGTAAAGAATAACAAAATATGTATGAATACATATAAATCATAATATACAGAGAGAAAACAAATGTAGAATGTTAGTAAGTGGGGATTCTAGGGAAAGCGTACACTAGAGTTCATGGTACTAAATTTTTGTAGGTTCTCCCTAGGTGTAAAAGTTTTTTCAAAATAAAGCTTTAGAGAACTACCAAGATTTTAAGTATATTCCTTTTATTTTGTAAATTGCAAAATACATACTCACTAAAGCAGAAGAAAGTAATACATATTCACTAAGCTAGAGGTCTACAAATAAAATGAAAATAAAGTCTCTACCTCTCACATAGGCAAAATTAAAGAGCTTGGTATATATTTTCTTCAACTTTTACTAAGTTCATAAAATATATATTTAATCAAATATCAGGATATTCTTAAAGTGTTATATGAGTAAATTACAAACATATTAAATGTTCCATTGCTTCTAAGACTTATTGGCAAAAATGACCAAGTGACATAGCACTGAATCCACAAACTGGTAAAATCCAGAGCTTATTACTCTCATCTTATCACTTAGAAAACACCTAGTCAGCAAGTCAACACATAATTCATAAAGTATAAGAAATATTTACATTAAAAAATGCATGTTTTGCTGTCAATAACTGCCAACCCCTAGCCAAAATTTTCTATATCTTATGATTAAGTGTGGGTATGCTTTGCAATAATTTACCATGTCTCTTAATCATTGACAATCACTGACTAGACCAAACCTCAAAGCTGAAATGGGTTTCTGTTTTTCCTACTTGGTAATTTATGAGTTACGTTTCTGCAGTTTACTGTAATCAACTCAATTTCTGAACAATATCCACTCAGGTTAAATAACTACCAAGAGCAGGACCTGGTAGTTTTCAGTTCTGCTTTCACCCTGCACTTTCCTATATCATTTTCCTGGCTTTCTCAAAGATAGTAAAAAAGGTATTACGTACAGGTGGAAGGTGGTGTGCATGAGTTGTAATTATTATTTTCCTATCATATCTATTTCATGTCTCATAAAGTCTCTGTCACATCCAACAATCATGTACTGAATCATGTGCTGTACTGAAGTTATATGACCTAACACTTGAAGATGTGGTATATAAGAAGATGTAGGTATATAAGCAGACTTATATACTTTTTTGAATATAAATTTAATGGAATTGGTTTATTTTCAATTCTTAACTGGTCAACTAGAGATTTCAGAGCTAAAAAGTAAAGAACAGAAGGTCTAATACCCTGAATTTCACTTGCCCCTCCTGGAGCAGCTTAATACACTTCTCAAAGCTCTATTTTCCAGTCTATAAAATAGACACAATAATGCCTACATATACAAGACTTAAAAGTCCGCTAGAGAAAATAAATGGTTTTATTACTTGGCTACTATTTTAAAAATTTTATCAAGATATGAGGGGGACGGAACTTTTCCTACATGGTTCCCTTCTGTTTTACACACTTTGGGTTTAAGAGCTGTCACTTCTTCATGTTCTCCACAATCTACAGATACCCCAAGACAGAGATAGCTTAGTCCTTCCAATCTGGCTTGACAGTTGGAAACAGCTGGTGATCACACACACAGCATTGATGGGAGGTGACGCCACAAAGCGCCACCGGTTGGGTTTCTTTCTCTAATCAATTCCTATGGTTCACTGGCAGCAGTTAATGAAAAAAGTGAAGGAGATTAACAGATATTTATGGAAAAGTTCACTTTAAAAAGATATTGAAAAGAACTACAATTAGCCAAAACAGGACGTAAATAGAAATGACCAAAACAAGCTCCAGAGGGTAGCTATTAAACGTTATCAATGCCACTGAGCCCCTGCAGGTCAGCCCCCCAATTAGTTTTATTCTCCAGGTATCAAACTGAATGTGGTGACGATATTGTGTTATCTTCCTAAAAAAGATGAAGGGCCTGTATATGAATTTAGAGCTTGACAAGGATCAGCATAAATTCCAGACTCTGAAAGCCAAGAAACTTTTCTGATTTTAAAAGTAGGGTAGCTCTCTGGCTAGTCCCTGTTAATTCTTCATGAAACAAAGTCCATCACTGTTGGCTTCAAGTAGAAGTGAAATCTAAAAAGATTTTTTCTTTTTTTTGCTTATTTTTCACTAGAAATATTGCCCATGTTTCAGTAGAAAAATAATTGGTTTTTCTTTTTTAAAAGACAACTCTTTGATCACAAATAGACAGAAAATGGAAATTGAATGAAAACTTTACACATTACTCTTTACTGACCCCTCTTGGCTGACCTAGGGAAAAGAAAAGCCTGAAGCCTCAAAACGTGTGAAATCTCTCCCTCCCGAGAGAAGAGCTCAGAGAACATTTGGTCTTTCATGCCATGGAAAGAAATCCTCTCAGTTCAGATGATCCCTAGTAGAACTCAACCCTAAAGCACACGCTGCAGTGATTTCTATTTATGGGGCTCCCAGAATGGAAATTGGGAAACCGCCTCATGGATCAGCCCCAAAGCCTGGTCCCCAGTAGCCTGTGACCTCTGACTCTAGCTTAAAAAACTTACTTAAGTGCTATTGTGACTGTTTCTGAAAGCAAGAAAAGACCTTACCTCTTTTTCTATTTTGAGTAGTTTCTTTACAGCCACCTCCTTGTCCTGTGATATCCATTTGGCTCGATAAACACTCCCAAAACTTCCTCCACCGCAGTTTTCAAAAAACTGCAAGTCATCAAATTTAATTTGCACAAAGGAGGTACCGAGAGACGACATCTCATAATGACAAAGTATTATACTTCCACAAAATCTGCAGAGAAAGAAAATAATTGGATTATAAATATATTAAAATGAATCCTCTGAATCCCACTTTAGATAATGTGTAACAATCCTGTGAAACTTCCAGAAAGAACCTTGATGACTTAGGAGAAAGAAAAGCAAGACTATAAATATCAAAATGAAAACACTTACCCTGGCAGCCCGTGCAAAATTCAAAAGCAAGTTGTGCAGACTGAAACACAGCTGTCCACAGAGAAATGGCTCCGATTTCTCCCCTGACAAAACCTACAGCTGCACTTCCTGCACATCCCGAGGAGCTCTGCCTAAAGGCTACTGTGTCACCAGGTCTATCCGGAAGCCCTGACGAACGGGAAGCATGCTTTCAACAGCAAGCTTGAACAGCTCTTCTGGCATCTGAGGCATGCCATCTCTCTGCATTGTGCTCACTTCACACAAAATACACATAACCTAAGCAACTGAACATCCGGGCACAAGGAGAGCCAAAATGCTGCAAACTAAACATGTATTCAGTGTTTAAATTCCAAAAGAAAATGTTCAGCCGAGGGATGATAAAAAAATAGGCCACGTGTTTTCCAGAAGTGGCTCCCTGGACTGTATACTGTAGCAGAACTTAATTAAAGAGTAGAAAATTTGCCCTTGATTATAATATATTAAGTCATCCAAAGAACTCCACCAAGAATGTTTAAAAAAAATATTATGTTTGTTTCCAGAGGAACAGATTACCCCTCCCAGAGATTATTACAGTGATATTTTCTGCAGTCTAAGGAGTTTTACTATTCAGGTAAGTGGTCATTTTTCATACCCCATGCCAAAGCACAAATTAGCAGGAAAAACAAAACAAAAACATACAAACAAGAAAACAAAGGACTAAAATTTTGAACCTGCATAAACAAGTGGATAAAAAAGTATGCATACATATCCTTGCCAATACTGTAAGCCAGAATCTTATAATGAGGGAGCAAAAAGACAAATCCATATGCACAAGACATTCTACAGAACCCTGGGCTTCTCATAATTGTCAATGTCATAGAAGATTAAAAAAAAAAAGCAGGGAAACTTCTAGCTTTAAAGAGCACTGAAAGAAATAAGATGACTAAATGGAATGCTAGATCATTGACTGGAGTCTGGATCAAAAAAATCTACAGAAGTTATTATTGGGATTTTAAAGAAATCTGAATAACAGCTACATATTATATAATATTATTTTATAAATGGAAGATAATACTGTTTTGGTTTTATAGGGAGGGGCATGTCCTTATTCTTTGGAGATAGATTGGAAGATGTATTAAAGTGGGCTATGTGTAACTTAATTTAAAATGGTTCAACTCCCCCTCCCCCTCCTTAAATAGTGTGTAGGTAAAGAGAAAAAGGAAGCAAATGTGGCATATCTAGGTGAAAGTTACATGGGTAGGCATTTTACTACTCTTCCCATTTTTCTGAGGGGGGGGGAGTTGATTATTTTCAAGAAGGTGGAGCGTGCAGTTGTATCTATATAAATTGACAAAATTTCTTCAGAAATATTTTAGGCTTTGCTGAGTGATGTACACAGTCAGCTCACAGATCTTACCGTGCAGCTGACTAGCAATTCCATTTTAGAAACATCAGGTCACTGAAGAATGCTGATTTCTTATGCAGAGTCAAACTGCTCTACTTTGGGAGAAGGCAAGAGAGATTATTTGTTTATCCTCTTAAGTTTAAAAGCTAGCTTAGAGTCTACATAAAAATACAGGGGTGAAAAACCATAGTATCCAGACACAATCTATACACATATTTGAGTCAGCAATTTACCTTAGTAACTTTTGATTCAATTCATACTCTGTCAATCACAGAAAAGAAGAAAGTTCAGATAAAATTGAGGAATGTGCCAAAGGTAGGTACATAGAATATACAAGCTAAAAAGTATATTCAACAAAACACAAACACCATTTGCAAGATTCCCTCAGGATTACAGATGCTACCTCTCTTTTTATTAATCATTTTTATTTTATCAAAGTATAAAAGTAAAATAAGACTGTGAAGCTTATATAATAAAAAATAGAACTCTCCTCTCTCACTCCTCCCCACACCCAGTTCTCTCTCCAGAGGGAACTAATTTCAACTCCTTTAGCATTTTCTTCTGGAATTTACCTCCATATTTCTAAATAATGTGTTTACATTGCTGCTCCTTGATTGTTCCATTTTGGATACTACCTATTCCCTTCTTCCTGTGGAAGATAAGGATTTAGTTCTCATAGTGCGCCCTTTACCTCTTTGCATACAATATGTTACACTTGTCCAATCCTCCCAGCTTCCAGCTATAGTGTAACATTTAGTTAAGTCTACATTCAGGGTTTATAGCTGTCTAACAAACTAAATATTTTCATGAGTGCTATGTAGGCTTCAATTCAATGACTTCCTTTCTCGGATAACTTTTTATTTCTCCTAGAGTTATTGGTTGTTCTGTTTTTGTTGTTTGCTTAGCTTTTTATGCACCTAACATTTAACCTCATCAAGCTCTCCCAAGCGCTGCAAAAGTCCTCTCAATAAAGTTAAAACAGGTCACTTTTCTTGGGAGGAGGGGCAGATTCACCTTTTATTTCTAGACATTCCTCCTATACCCTGCATCTTGATTTAATCTGGTTGGAATGGTTGCTCTCTAGGCCTTATGTGGACTGGGACTTCCCTTCACCATCATCCTAAGGAAATTCCTTCGCCTTCTCCTCTGTGGGAACCCCTGTCCTTGGATCTCTTGGCTTCTCTTTCTTAGTTTATTGCCTTGTTTTAACAGTGCACATCTTTCATTAGCTACATGAACAGAATGCCCAGAGCATAATTTTTTTTGAGAATTTGTGAGTCTTAAGAGGTGTTGACTGGTGGCCTGGCTGGATATGCAATTCAATTCTAGGTAGGAAATAATTTTCCTTATAATTTCAAAAGTATTACTTCAGTCTTCTAGTTTTTAATGTGGCTGCAAAACAGTCTGATGCTACTCTGGTAACTAATCTGTTTTATATTATTTTTTTCTTCTCTGAAAGCTGTTGGGATCCTATATTCACCTCTGGAATCCTGAAATTAATAGGATATGCTTAAAAGTGAATCTTTCTCATTCATTGAAAGAACGCACTGAACTCTCTCAGTCTGAGTCTCAGGCATGTCTTTTAATTCTGGGAAATTTTCTTGTTTTATTCTTTTACCACTTACAGCCACTTTCACTTCTTGTCTCATTCTCTACACACATTTGAGGAACTGCTTGCAGTTTCCGTGCTGACTTCTTTTCACATTTCCATGCCTTTGCACAGAGCTAGTGTGTCTGACTAAAATGCCTTTTTCTGTCCAGCAGACTCCTGTCCTTTGAGCCTCGTGAGCAGAGCTAAATTCTCCTCCTGTGCCAGAGCATCTTTCTGTACACATCATCTTTCCCTGTAACTTCCCACCAGATTATAAATTCTGTAAGGGCAAACCTCATTACTATTCCTGGATTTTCAGCACCTAGTACACAGCCAGGAACAATGTACCTTTTCCATTCAAAAATATTGTTGAATGAATGAATGAATGACCAAATTGGTGAATAAATAGTTTCTATCTATTCTTCCATTGTACCTTTTGCAGCTGGAAAAATCCCAATCAAGAGTAAGTAAAATCTGAGAACTGTAGTTTTTGCAAGTGCCTCCTAGAGGATTCTGAGGCACGTCCTGATTTGGAAACTGCTGCCAAGGAGAGTATGTCTGGGACCTCAAGGATTGGGTGTCTCTAAGTCTGAAGGAGGAGGAGAAAAACAGAGATCTGAAACAGGATGAGGTCACTATGAATACATCTAAACCCTCTGGTGCAGAGCCAGTCAGGGATGAACTGAGGTAGAGTCAGTCACATATGAAACTGACCTAAGAGTGCTAGAAGACTGCCCTTTGAGAAGTATAGTTCTCCAGGACCTTCACCTTTGGAGATGAAGCAACTAGTCATGTTCTTCCCAGAATCACTGTTACTAACTTTGTAATATATCTTGCCATTTGGAAAGTGGCTATATATGAACAGAACTATGTAATTACTTGAATCTTTTATTGAAACCATTAAAAAAATATGCTCCATCCGATTAACAAAGAGACTAACAATTCTGGGGTGTACAAGTACAGGCTGTAACTTCAGTGAGCTTGGCAAAGCATCATGGCCTTAGCCAAAAAAACCTGACTAAGAGTTCCACTGCCATCTAAATGAGTGTCAGACAACACACAGGTTTCTCCTGCTATCAAAAGTAGAGCATTCTTAAGAAACCTTTCAAAGCCTAAATGGCATGAAGTAAAAAATATTACCATTAAATTATATGGAAAATGTTTTAAGTTTTCCTGGATCCAAAAAAATAGCTTCTTTTAGGCTTTTCTGATACCTTAGGACACGTACTACTAACCGATGCACAAAATAAATTCAGATAAAGCATAGATTCTCGCAGCCACAGTTCAAGGCTATGGCAGGCTGGTGCTGAAGATGCTGAATCTAGTTCATGGGAATAATAGCTTGCTGCAAAACACACACTGCACATTATTTTTACTTTTCACCTTTTTCATAAAAGCAAAAAATCCTCTTTAGATTTCTTTCAGTTAGTGAAAATATGTGCTAATGCAGATCTTTTATAAAAGCAAAGTGGCTTAATGTAAACTTTTGAAAAGCAGGAATACTTGTGCATTTATTTTCCCCCTTGAGCTTTCTCTCCTTTAATTTAAAATTATTTTTCTAAGAGTATCAACTTATGACCAGAAAAACAGAAAATGTGAGTTACTGAGAAATCACATTTAGAGAATATTGGGGGAAACTGCTACCTGATTAAATTATGTTCTAATGTTAGACATGTGCTCCAGTAAATACACCAGAATGTAATAATGAGCCTTCTGTATAAATGTATTTACATCATATACCTAGTCAAATTTCATCCCATCAGGTGAAAATAATTACTTTTACACAAGAAAGGCAAAAATGTTTCTTCATGCAACAAGTCCCAAATTTTGTAGTATTCTAACTTCTATTTCATAAACTCTCAAAACTGCTTTAAATATTAATAGTAAGGATCTACTATACAGCATTGAAAAGTGAGTAGAACAGGGATATCACAAAAATCAAAGTATAACAGGATGTCAAAAATTCTGAAAATGTTGAAAATCACTAACATGGTTGAATTCCATCATGAGTACTTGAGTAGTAAAACAATTTTAATTTCCTTAAAATTAAAAAAGAATTTTCAACCATTAACTAAACTGCTGAAAGCAAATATATGTTAACACTATCAGCTAATCATCAAGAGTGAAACCATGTGGAGGTAGAGACAAATAAAGCGAGTTATTTTACTTTTTAAAGTTTCTAGCCTTCTAGTCCAAAAAAAAATACTTTTGTCCTGAATTAAAAAGAAAAAACAAAACAGACACCACTAACATTCTAACACAGAAAAACAAGGCTTAGAATTAGATAGATATGAGTTTGAATTCTGTCTTCACTTCTGAGTAACCATGAACCTCGAATATTTTCTGACTAATGACATTTCCAGATCCACTAAGTAAAAAATTCGAAATCCCTTCCATTCTGGTTTGGTGTACTTGTTCTTAACACCAAGGTCAAAGATTCAAAGATTCTATTCCTACATGGGCCCTCTGTGGTACTGTATCTTTATTTTTAAACCACTCAAAACAGATAAGATCTGTAAGACTAGTTGGAGGAGAGTAGGTATACAAACAGAACTAACGAGTACTATGTTTACCATAGATACTCCTTTCTTCCAAAGCTGCCATGGGAAAGCAGTGTATCTTGTATATAATTGGCTGGGCTCGGTGAATAGGATCTTTATTCGTGGATATCTGAGAGAAGCTGACTTTAAGAGTCTAAAAAGGACTATTGTTTCATTTTTTTTACTCTATGCTTTACCATATAACCATAGTTAGAGCAAAGGTTAAAAATGAGATAAATGAAACATTTTTATTTGTATTTTAATATTTCAATTAAGGAAGATAAACTTTTATGGCACATTTCCTTCCCAGAAATGTTGTTACCAGAGGCAAAATGTAAGTGGAACAGGAATGTAGGGGTAGGGGCACTTATGCCACAGAAATGCTGTGTGGAAATGTGTCTGTGCTCAAACAGAAGCTCAACTAGGAACACAAAGCAGGTACCATCCATGACATGGGTCACTGCAGGGGGTTTGTGTTGAATGATTGGAGGCATATGGAAGAGAACTGGGCCAGAGTTTGAATAAAGTAAAGGAGCAAGGAGAGGGCACAGTGTCTCTGGGCAGCTAGAAGAGGAATTCACAGGTGTGGGGGAGGAGGGGCAAGGGGCAGGGGCAGAGAGCAGTTGCTCAGGAATAAACCAGGCTTCCAGCAGGCCCACCCAGCACTAGGTCCTGCTACTCCTCAGCTCTCTACCCTTGAATCATTTCCTGTCAAATAGAAAGTATCTGACCATCATGGCTGCTAACGAACAGGTACTACTTTGGACTAATTACCTAGAATAAAGTTGGCTGAGTAGGGTAAATACAAAGGTTAAAACCTGGTAACCTCAATGTAAAATGAAAGGAAATTGGGATATTAAAACTATCAAAGACCAAAGGACGACCCTATATTATGCATCGCTGATCCAGAGGCAAAGGTATCTGTGGATACAAGTTGCAGAAAGAATTCCTTGTTAGAGTTGCCTAACAAAATCTGTCACTTTGTGTTGTAGTGACTTTCTCATCACTGAGAATGTTCAATGGGAGTTGGGCATGTAGAGGAGATTCCAGCATCAGCTAGAACAGAATGAATGGGTGTTTTCTTGAAGATTCACTCCAACCTTGTAAGTATTCTACTATAAAGTATGGATGGTCACCCTTCTCTTCTCAAGGACATAGTCATGAACCTCACAAAAAGAGCCCCTTGACGTTGTGGAGGAGAGCAGTGATCAGCATCAGTGATGGCGATAATGGAGGTGACTGGACCATCCTCCTAACTTTCCCCTCCCAAACTGGCTAGGAAAGTGAGAGTCATATTCCAGATTTCTATCCTACAACTATCTTTTCCTCTCTCCTCTTCTTCCCTATTTCCAAAGCAAAGAACTCTGTTCACATTGAAAACCAGAGCATAACTACAGAAAAGAAAAACTCTTTGAATGATGATTTACCTCTCTTCCTTTCTCAGCAAAACAGAAATGCAATACTGCACACAGCGGGCCGGGCTACAGAGCTTGATGGTGCAGTACCATTAAGCAGAACCAGATCCATGCTCCTCAAACATGGGCACTCCAACCCATGAGAACTGAGAAAGGAAGACTAAATCAGGTGAAAGGAAAACTAAAATCAGGCGAGTACTTGTAAGATCCTCCCAATCCCTACATACACAAGTTAAGTATGACACAGGAACAGGGCAAGCGCCCAAGGGCAAGCCGTGGATGGGAAGAGGGAAGACAAGCAGCTTTCTCCAGGTGTAACTCAGGAATGTGGAAACACACCCTTCTCTACCACCCAGTTATAGCAGCTGAGGTTTCAGGCACTGTTTCAAGCATTTCCATATGCTGTCTCATATACTTATGATTATGAAGCAGGTATTACTGTCCCCAATTTACGTGGGAGGAAACTGAGGATCAAAGCTGTGAAAGTTGCCCAAATGAACTAACTACCTTACAAGTGATGCAACTGGGATTCAAACTCAGGTCTGACTCAGAGTGGTATCATTTCTTCTACCATATCTTTTTTCCGTGGCATCATTCTGTCTCCTCCTTCTAATACCTAATGTCACTAGACTGCTTACCATCCACCTAAAGTTCACTTTGAGGCTTTAAATTCCTATTAGCGATCGTAATACTGGCGTTAGGGTATTACATGTGTGGCTGCTTTGTTCTCACAGAATCTTCTACCGTGTTGGGATTATGTAACCGCTATTAGTACATAATCAATGCTTCAGCTGTCTGTAGGAGGGTCTGACACAAAAGGACCCATCTATCAGTCTATCCAATCTAAGCTCCAGCATTTGTAGCTCTCTTTCCTTAACAGGTACAGTTTCTGGGTCACAGCTAGAACTCTGCTTATTTGTGTAGCGGGGCAAGGTTAATAGCCACAAAAAAGGTAGCCTAAATCTTCCCTGCAGTAAGACCAAAAGGTGGCGTATCTGTTCCCATTACATTTAGATAGATAAGACATCCTCCCTGTCAATCTGTCCTGGGTAGAATAAAATGGAAACAAATGATCCAAGCTGATTTTTATTTCCAACATCTCTGAATATAATGTTGTCTTTCTCCAAGTACTATATCACCACAAACTCCTTGGTTTAAAAAAAATCATTTAGTCTCTCCTCTCTATTCTCTGAATCTATCAATTCCTAAAATCAACTGTTTTCTCTTTCAATCCACACTAATAGCTTCACTTTATGCCTGACCTCTTTTCACCAAACGTCACTGTAATTTCTTTGGTGTTTTCTCTGATAACTAGATTACTCACTCCATGCCCCTCATAACTCATTTATAATGTTGTAGCCCTATCAAAGTCAGTTTCACTGCCCATTTCAGATAGGCACTCAGTCAATATATTGCCAATAACACTTACTCTTGTGCTAACTCAAAATACACAGTACAGCTTGCCAAGTTTCCTTATTTGGCAAGAAGGGCCCTTAGTTCCCAAGATCTTTGACTATCCATTTTTAGATCTAAATCTTCGTGCTTAATATTTGAATATTTCTCTCTCTTTTTTACATGTCCTATGTGTTCCCTAAAAGAATAAGAAAAAGAGATCAATCATCTATTTGCATTCTTAGACCTAAGAAAAAAATGTGCTTTCCATTGCATTATGATCCTTTACAATTACTACAACTAAAGCCTGATTGAAACAATATTCTCCAGTTTAAAAAAATTCTAGAATAATCCCTATTTCCCAAAAAAGTTATAGTAGGAATTAAGTTGCTAAAGTTTAAAAATCAACTGTACCTTTGCTCTAAAAGACCATTTTTCTTTATCTTAGTTCTCTCTTTCCAAACACACTGAATTTATATTCACTTGTAATCTGCCAAATCTCACACTAAATTTACATTCACTTGTAATCTGCAGAAGTTTAAAACAAAGGCTCTACAAATGACCAAAACCATACTTAAAATGCAGCCATTACCTATTTTTTGAAAATCAAAAGACATGAAATTTCACTGTGAAGATGAGCCTACTAGAAAGAAGATATTAACTGTCTTGAACCACTTGTTTATTCTTGTCTTTAAAATGTGTGTGTAGATTCAGATCCACCGAATCCTAGCTGTTCAAATGAGGTCAGGAAAGCAAGGCTCTCCTAAAACAGCTTCAGGGTTAAAACAGGAATATATTTGGACAACCATTTTAAGTTAAATAACCCTCAAATTAATTATGTAAATCGATTCTAATACACCATTATTGAGAGAATTGCTTGCTGTAATCTCACTGGAACGGCCACTAAATGGTACTGCTTTCATTATTAAAGAAACTAACAAAAATAGTAATTAAGTCACCCATAAACAGTGCTTATGCAAGGTCTCAAGGCGCATCAGAAACAGAGTTTCTGCAGTCTAACAATGTTTGCCCCATTATTTTGGGCAATTCGATGTCATCTCGCCAATTCCGTATTATAGTTCTCCCGCAAGCTGTCAGGAGAAGGCGAGGCGTGGCGGCGGCCTCGGCGCTCACCTCGGGGCCTGGGGGCAGGTCTCAGAGCACAGTACCGGGGAGTGGGGGGCGCCCCACGGTAGACTGCGGGGGCACCTACGCTCCGGTGGAAGGAAGAGGGACGCTCGAGGGTGCCGGTGGGCGCAAGCTCCACGCTGCCCGACGGAGCGCAGGGGGCGGCAGCCCTTGGTGAGAGACCCCGCGCGCGGCCGGCCAGGCCCGGCGGAGAGGCAGAAGTCACGGTCCCTCCTCGCAAGCCCAGACGTCCGCGCGGAAGTGGCCCGCACCCCACCCTGGTTCGGAAGCCTCGAGTTTCGCCTCCAGAGAGGTGCGCGGGGCCCTCCCTGCGAGGCCGGCGCCGCGGCGAGCACGCCCCGAGGTCGCGGCTCCGCCGGCGGGGGCCCAGCGTCCGGAGAGGCCCAGCGGAGGCCCAGGAAGGGCTGCCCGGCCGCGCGCGCGGAGCCGAGAAAGCCGGAGGCCCTCCGCTCTTCCGGCGCCAACTTGTGCGTGGGGGCTGCGCGACCTTCCCCGGCCGCTCCTGGCCGCGCCGGGGCCGGGAAGGCTCGCTGCGGCCTCAGCCGCCTGCCCGGAGCCGAGGTCGGAGAGCGGAGCCCACGGGGAGCCGCAGGCCGGCGGGCTCCCGGACCTTGGCCCCGACCCGCCGGGGCGCCTCGCGAGCGCTGCGGGCCCCCTCCCGCCTTCTCGCCCGGCGGCCCCCGCCCCGGGCCCTTACCTGGGTCCCGGGCCGGACGCGAGCAGCAGCCGGGGGCGGCGACTGGGGGTCGGGAGGACGGCGGCCCGCGCGGCTCCCACGCTTCCGCCCGAGTCAGGAGTTGAACATTCCGCCTCTCCGCCCAGCGCCAATGAGGAAGACAGTGCCCGCAACAGCACCACCTACCTCCGAGCGCGGAACGGCCGGGCGGCGCGCGGGGCTTGGGGAAGGCGCCGGGCCTCCCCGGGGTCCTCCCGGGTGCGCCTGCCCTCAGGTGGCACCTGCCCTGCCGTGGGGGCTCAGGCGGGTGGCTCTGTGCGCTGTGCACCTTCACATCTTTTGAACGAGTTAACACCACTTATTTCCTCAACTCAACCCTTACCAACAAACATTTCCTGTGGAATACAGAGATGCAAGGCTGCTTCCCCCGCTACAGGAGTTAATTATCTAGCTGGGAAGAGGACAGACCGGTAAGGATATTTCTAAGGAGGCAGAGCTGAAGGCTGCCTCGGTGGAACTACCAGTAGATATCTACGCAAGTTTGAGGAGGGGTCATGGTTTACTGCCCTGGTTGGTGACTTTAACAAGCTGAGTTCACATGAGGAGACTAGAATCCATCCCAAGTGTGAGCAAAAGGTGGAGATAAGCAGTGGGGAGAAAAGTAATTGTTGGCTGGGAAGGATGGCTCTTAGGGGCAAAGTTAAATGAGGCTGCAACATTACCGAGGGGTTGCATTTGGATTCTGTCATCTGTGGACACTGGGGAACTGTGGAAAGCTGGAATCAAAGAGATAAAGGAGGGTTCGTGTTTTTGTTTTAATGGTGATTTATAGAGAGAGCGGTCCACATGGTTGTAGGATGGGTTGCTAGGGCAAAACTGGGAAGCAGCATTAATGGTAATTATTGTCACTACCTGGAAATGGGATTGTGAGGAGTTGAGTTAAGAGTGTACAAATGCAATTAGAAAAGACGGTATGGAGTTTGTAGGTATGTTTCGGGAAGAGGCCACAGAAATTGATGACCCAGCAGATATAGAGGAGAGGGAGTCAGAGATGATGCCAAGATTGCCGACCTGGGTAACTGGAAGAACGATGGTGTCACGGACAGAAATAGGGGTGTGTGGAAGAAAAGCTGGCTTCCTGTTGAGTTTGAGGTCATGGGTGGAAAAACAGGTAGAGATGCAACAGTTGAAATAATGAAACAAATTTAGAAGAGGTCAGAAGGAAAATACAATTGTAAATCATTCAGATAGTTAAAGATATGAAAGTGGAGGGATGGGTAAATAAAGGTGAAAGAACAACGTCCAAGTCTGTTATTCAGATTATTTAATTTTCCCTTGGACAAGGACTAGGAATTTATCATTGATGGATTCTGTTTTAGTAACTGAGAAATTAGGATTGCTGAAAACTGTCAAGCTAAAAAAAAAATCCTAATTTAGGTAATCAAATAATTCTTAAAAAAATCTAAACATCAAAGGGAAACACTGAGGCTCTTTAGCATAGACCGAGGTATAAGGTGACTCCAGTCACTTTACCTTACCTTCAAAAGCATTACACTGTGACGGAAGGGACACTAGGCTGGCTGGCAATCAGAGAACGTGGCTTCTTGTCTTAGTCCTGCCACTTATCAGCTAGTGTACTTTGCTAGACTAGACAGGCCTGGGTTTCCTCCTCTGCAAAAATAAGAGGGCCCAATTAGATGTTCACTAGAGGTTTCAGCTTTACAATTGTAACTGCCCTGAAATGTTTTTAGCCGCATTCCGCTTCCTTCCCATCCGTTTCTCCTTCATTCTATTTACCCCACATAATCAGGCTAGGCGAATAACCAGCAGGGACAGTGAACACTAAAGAGCAGTCTCACAGACATGCTTAAATGATAATCTGGTAGGCATTCTCATCTCTTCCCGTTTATGTTGCAAGCTCCTTGAAGTCATATCTTATATTCTATTATTTCTGTCCATAGTTGAATTGGGTGATAAACTGACCAAGCTGATAAATTGTGTGATAAACTGATTGCCTTAGCCTGCCTCTTCTTTGGTTAACGGGCCTGTTTCCTTATTCCTGTAATGATCTCTTAGGCCCCAGATCTAATAAATATAGTCCAGTGCTTGTTCCTATGGCTGACTGCTTTTCAAACTTTCAGATTTTTTGAAAGCATATTGGTTAATTCTCACCATATAGGTTTACAAATGTAAATAGCAATAACAAAAGAGACTTAGTCAAAACTCTCTCATCAAGCCTTCCTATTCCTTTACTTCAAATGTCTCCACACTAAAAATAGATGTACTCTCAGCAGTGGGGTGGATTGGGAGTCCTTAGCACCCTCTTATATCCAAGAACACCCTCCAAAATAAACATGCAATGTAAGTAAAAAGAGTGCATTTGCTATGCAAATATGGCTTAAAGAACAAGTCTCCTAGCCCCCCAATCAGATTGTTGTCCCTAACTTCCTTTTAAATAGAAATTCTGGCACTGCCACCAGCTATCGGTGGATCAGAGAAATGCAGGCATGAATTCTATTAAGGATAGAAAGAAATGCAACTTAAAAGGAAGAAAGCATTCTATAATTATCCTTCCCTCCCTTTATAGTGATGAGAGCTATGGTGCAAGGCTGTACTCAAGAGCATTTTCTCTAGCTATCTCAATTCTCCCTCTTAGATTGTGAGTAGTCTGTGTCTAGTTCATAAGTTTGAATTAACTAGCTTTTATACAAAGATATGCTTTACTTCCTGCATAACTCTAAATCCATGGAAAATTAAGATACACAAACATCCTTTAAGTAAGTAGCCATGAACTTAAAAATCACCAACGAAGCCCAGGTCATTGTTTCAGCTTAGTTTTCACATTTAACTTGAGAGCCAAAGAATTCCCAAGTATATTTTGGATACAAAATCAGCTTAGGGTGCCAGGGCATGAAAGGAACAGTAGGGCAAGAAAAGAAATTGGAGACTTCCGCAAATGTATTCAATAAGCATCTACTGAATGGCAGGGTCTATGCTAAGCTTTGTGATTATAACAGTGACCAGGACCTGTCCCTGCTCTCACAGGTTTCAGAGTGCAGTGGAAAAGCCAGAGAAGACAAAGCAATTATACTGCAGTGTGCTCTTAAGGGGGCAAATGGGGGAGTTTACAGCAGGACACCTAACACTGTTTGGGGAGGTCAGTGAAGGCTTCCAAGGCAAAGAACCTCTAAGTCCATACGAGAAGAACGAAGAGAATTTGCTGGACATAAAAGAGGGACTGGTATTACAGGCAAAGGGCACAAGAACAAAGGCCCAAGAGCATTCAACAAATTCAAGCAATAAATCCCTTAGCTTGAGAAAACCAAATAACTTTTGTTTATGTAGGTTATACCTATTGAAACTGGTCATATTAGAAATTAAAACTGAAATCTTATGCTCGTTTAATTTAAAAGTGACAGTAAACACATTTATGTTAGCATGAACAACATATTTCAAAGAAAAATACTGTCCAAAATTTTAAAAATTAGAAGAGTGTCATTCTTTTGTATTTTTGCAAATATCTTTAATGTCTGGCCTAATAGAAGACAGCTGGCCTGTCATACATATCTGCTTCTGCATTTCCTCTACTCCAGTATCACACTACATGTACCTTTTGGGAGATTCCACTGTACAGTCATAAGACAGCACAATGAAAATAACATCTTAGTATTTTTATGAGGAGACTTGACCTTGCAGACCTCCTGATAGGGTTCCCAGACTGCATTTTGAGACCTGCTATTTTAGGGACTCATAGGTGCTCCTTGAGCTGCAGGCAGGCAGTGACCTTGTGCTCTACTTCAGGAAGCAGCACCACAGGGTGGCTGTGTGAAGCAGGGAAGAGAGCACTTTGCTAGACATCACAAAATCTGGGATGTGGTACCAGCCCAGTCCCTAACTAGCTGTCACTTAGTTGGGACCATACTGCCTGATGGTTGTGTGGGATGATAAAGGCCTACTTATCAGAGTCTTGGGTCCTAGGCACCACTTACCCTTTGTCCTTGTTTGCTATGCTGTTCTTTACAGTCCTATCTCTGAATCTGGATGGAATCAAAGCTGAGTCTGTCACAGCCCTGGAGCACCGAGCATTGCCATACTCCCTGTTTGCCCTTAGCCCTACTTCATTCCAAGAACCTGATTTGCTTCTTTGCAAAAGATGTGACTTTCTGGGAAGATCCTAGAGTTATTATTAAATGAAGAGCTGGTAATCGCTTTGAATGTGGATGCTAGAAGCCAGTGTGGACTCATTGAAATCAAGATGTACCAGGCAAACCTGGTTTTCTCTACCAGGATTATGGGGGAGACAGTAAAGACTTTTGTCAGTGAAACATGACAAAGCTTCTCATGACGACTTTATAAATCAGGAAGGGTTTTAACTGATGACAGTACAATGTAGCCAACTGTTGTTAGACTGAAAATATCCTAGAAGGTTATACACCCAAAGTGCCACTGTTGCTTCGGGGGCAGCTTCCCTGACAGAGGTGGTATGTTGCTGGGCTCTCTTCTGTCCTGTCCTGTTCAACATTTCTGTAACGTGGAAGAAGACCTCAGTGGCGTGTCCATCTAATTAGGAAGTAAAATATATTTGAAAGGAATACCTAACATATTAAATAGAATAATCATATCAAAACTCCAAAACCTTTGTTGACACCTTACTGTCTACTAAATGAAGTTCCAGATCCTGAGGGCACATCGACACCCTCCATTATTTAACCCCAACATTCTTCCCCAGTGTTATCTCGCATCTTCATGGGCCTCGCACTGCTCTCCCCCAGCACCTTCACCTCCCTCGCAGTCTCATCCTCACGCCTGGCCACCTGGCTACACACCACACTCCTCCTCCATCACTTGTGGCAGTGGCACATTCTACTCACAGAGAATGTTACTGAAATCTAAGGGAAACATAAAATGTTATGAAAATAGTCAAGTTTCTGAAATTGAGGTTTCTGATTAACAGATCCAAGAAACAGAGATGAGCTTTTATCCCC